AATTTTATAGAAATATAGCAATACTTTATGATATGAAATAAACTAATTTTTTCACGTTTCATGATTTTTAATAAATGAATCATCGGCGATCAGTTGTAGAATCGGTGAGTTTTTCGATCAACGAATTTCTGGTCGGTAAATTTTCCAGTCGGTGAATTTTCCGGTAGGTGAATTTTCCGGTCGGTGAATTTTCCAGCCAGTGAATTGTTGTCGGTGAATTTTTCGTCGGTGAATTGCAGTCGATGAACTTTCCTAGAGCCCAAAAATATAACCGACTGTTGGACATTGTTGCAGATTCACCCGTTGCTTTAACAGCTTAATAGAGTTAAACCTATTTGATATCGATTTGATGCACTCTTTAAATTTCTGATGTTGCTATTTCTCCATGGTGTAAACGACGGATATAGAGTAGGCAGCGTTGAATGGCACGGTGCAATGCAACTATCTTCGAACTTTAGGAGTGCCAGATTCGAGTCAGAAAACGACAATTTTTTAACTGTCAATTTTTTTGAACAAAGACTTTATCCTAGATTGTTTTGGTGTAACCAGCCGAAAAATCAATAGCGAGTTTCGACTTTCAAACAGTAAAGGCAGCATCGTACTCTGATGTGATTATGCCAGAATAGGAGCAAGCACAGCTATGCTCTCGGTTTGTGAGTGACTCCTGTTGTAGCAATTTATGTTGACTTATTCTACAGCTGTTTATTTAATGCAATGGTCAGCAGGTATAAGTTTTATCGTTGTAGAAATCCTGACGCCAGAGATCTGATGTTAGAAATACTTAAGAAGTAACGATGATGTAACAAGTTATACTTGCAAATCGCTACCGTCAACAATGCAATTCTCCAAATTGCGAGCGACAAATGATTACACGCTGATTACGGCATGAACATTTCGGCAGAAGATGATTTCAGGGTATATCGCGATGCTGTGAAATTATGTGAGGAATACGAAGAGAAGACAGGTATGATTTTTCCTTTTCGAAAATAGTTCGGTAGTGTTTCATGTCCTTGTTATTTCATGATTTAGAGTAAACTC